TATGCCGATATCATGAGAACACAACATTACTACGACACAATTAAGCAATGAGGTATACTGAGACATATATAGCAACCGGATCATGCGGACATTAAATAAGAAGCAACATCCACATCATTTGCCAAATTGCATATATTCAATCAATTATGCACCCAAGCCAAAGACAGACTTGTATGGCATCAATACATTCAAAATGGTTTATGGATTCTCAAGTAAACATAAAAAGTTGAGGTTCCTTGTCCATCTAGCCCGCTCCAGGACATATTAAGCATTACATAACTTCATATCTAGAGCAAGTTCAAAGGTGACCACGCCAAATGAGGATGTGTCAATCCCCACTAACACACAAGCACACTAAACATGTCTATCTAGCATTGAAGTCAAATAGTATTTCCTCGATTTGTCATGTGCATACCATGACTACCATCAGATAAAAGTGTCACAATTGCCTAAATCTTCACTCCACTAACATGTCTATCTAGCTTCAACTGACTAGGATAAGGGCATAGCAACTACACACACCACTACCATTTCTAGAATAATTGTTAAGTAGTGTTGGTGCACATTTACTCAAAACCAAAAACATCACCACGATAACTAACAATTCACAATTCCCATGGTTCACCACCAATAACAAAATAAGGCAGAATGGGTTCTGGTTGACTTACTACTTCCGGGTGGGTGGGAGCTTCTTGGTGCGCTTGTAGTAGCGGGCAAGGCGGTGGATCCTGCTCTCAACAAGAATGAGCCTGAATTTAGAGTCCTTGTCCTTCCTGTTCCTCTCAAGATGCTTCCTAATCGCCACCGCCTTCTTAATGAGGAAGTAGAGATCCTCGGGATCTCCGCGCCAACCCTACACGCACACATCCGATAGCATCAACACACCACACTTCAGACGCCAGACATACGAATCGAGCAAGCGAGTCACAAGTTCTCACCATGGGCCTTGAGGATGCGGAGGATCTTGCTACCAGTGGACGCTCTTGACGAGAGGGATACCGTGGCTTGGGTCACGGAGCAGGACGCCAATCTGCGGCAGATTCGGCCCTTCTTCGCAGCCTTGGTAATCATCTCCTCCACCGCCATTCCACATCGTGCGGCGCGCGTCAATCAACGCCAATCAACAAACCGCAACGCCCAAATCGAACCACTCAGAATGAAGGGGGCAAACAAATCACCTCGGTGGTGGCAATCTTGAGCCAGTCGGAGGAGTCCTCTTGTACTGGCAATACCGATGACGAGATACCCTTCTGCGTCACGAGACACGCACACGCCATTAGAACACACACGAATTCAATCGGGGAACAACACTAATGAGTGGAGAAGGGAGAGATGCTTACCCGCCGTCCATGCATACGCCCCATCAAAATATAAGTCCGATCAAGGAGTAGGGAGAGATGCTTACCAAAGAATTATTTCGGCTACCCCAAAAAAAAGTATTTTGGCGTATGTGCCTTGACCATCTCTATTATAACTTACGTGACTTCTTGTTGCAAGAACAAAGATAGTCTCGACGGATGGATGAGCAAGTTATAAGGTTACATTTGATGAATGATGACACTCGAAACATGCTAAGCAAGTAAAGGAACTCTAGAAATTTTCAATGACAAAAAAACTACCTTTTCCATTTCGGAAGGAAAAAACAACAGCATGTTTCTTATTATGATCGCCAACTGCAGGTAACTAAATACTCTGCAGATCAAGACCTTGGTATATTACTCGCTAGAATTGAAACTTGTTTACAAGTATAAATTACTACTCATTGCACCCATCAGAAGTTTAACACCATATCACTAGGGCTGGTTGTACTGGTAATTGATAAATGTACAGAGCAAATATAACATGTAAATAAAAAGGGACCAATGCAACGAAATCACTCACATACAGCAGGTTGCTAGTAGAGAATAGGAATCATTTAAAAGACTCTTAAAGTTACCTTAATGCGTTGGGGCAAACCAATCCAAAATTCCAGGTTTGGAATGGCCTACAATATAAGAAAAGAGTAAGACAAGTGGTTCAAAAGCATCATGAAGTGTAATGGATGGAGTGGATTCCTAAGGTAACTGCTCACAGAAACAATTGAAGGCTGATCTAATCACAATTTCAAGGGAATGTTCATTGTTTACAAGGGGGAGATATGATTCACTTGTAGTTTTTATTAAAAAAAGATTTGATTTATTGATAAATTTACATTCTTTCTTCACAGTTTGTTTTACCGTGGTTGTTTAATTAAATGCATTTCTTTCACAATCCCATTAGAAATTGGGAAACCCAATCGAACACATCAATTTCCACCAAATCCAAGTAGAATGGTCAAAACAGTTATTTCATAGCCAGGTGGACCTTGTTGTCCACAAGCAAACAATATTTTCACTGCCGGTACGTATATTCAAGAAACATGAAGCTGGAATCAAATCAATTACGAGATTAAACTTGTGGTCTCGCAGATTGATTTTGATAAAACTTGAGTACAGTTCAACATTTTGAGGAACAAGTTGTCTCTAAACAGTGGGCTCAGCTACAGTCCAATTTTATTTTGAAATCCTGCCTTGAGGAGTTGGTCGAACTCAAGACTAATACAAATTTTAACAAATTATTAGTATAAGTTTTCTTGAGACCATTCCCAGTGCTGGGAACATTAATGAAAAGTTATCTAGCACAAAGTTAGGACGAAATGGTACTTTTCCCTACAGCAGGAAACAAAAATGCGCACACGCATGCAGATGTATCAGTGAATTGGTAGTTGGGTTAATGAGATTTTTCATGTAACTCTAGTGATTAAAGCTATGGATCAGAGCTTATTGATGAGAAACCATGAGAGTTACAACTAGCCTTACCAAGCAAATAACATCATACTCCATATAATTTGACATAAAACGAATGAGGCATATAAATGGAGGACTCTTGAAAGACAAGCTTTACCTCTACAGAATGAATGCCCAGGAAATAGTATCTGTAAACTGCTCCAATCAAAATGTACCCTCCAAGAAGGCACAGAATTCTGCAGAAAAATTAGATATTAATCAAGCTGAGAACTGCTAAAAGAAAAAAGTGTGAAACTCTGCGATGATGAGAACTCACAAACAAGACTATAGTTTTGTATTAAAAAGAAAATGGGCACCCAAATTCAAGGTAAAATAGACATAAACCAGGGAGGTTAGGGGTGTATACCCACACCTTCCAGTAGCTGAGCTAGATTCAATTTCTTCCTACTGCAGAATGCAGATTAATTGGCTAATATAGCAGGTTCCAGGTTCACATAATTATATGCAGCTCAAAAGAACATACGTCATGAACGAAGTGCTTAACCATCCCCAGCCACTTCCAGAAGCAGAAACAGACCTTGCACAATCAGAAGGGTGTTTAAGTGTTGTAGCCTGTGAGGTACAATTGTGTTAATGTCTTAAGGAAACAAAACTGCTGTAGAAAACTGCACCATTGCAATTTTTTGGTACCCACATAATCACATAGACCAGAGAAAATGTGACTACGTACTCACTTTTTCCAGAATATAAACTGCAATATCCTGTCGATAAAAACATGCTTTAAAATATTGTGCTCTGGTAAAAAAATGTATTAGTCAAATACTGAAAATAGGATAGTACAGATTTTTCAACATGTATTGCTCTGGTGAAAAAAATCAGTACTAGTTATATTAACAAAATTCAATCCACATCTTACAGCATACACATGGGACTAGATCAGATCTGTTCTGAATACACATAACCAAATAGCTTAAATTAGGGTTCGTTCTCAAATTTGCACAAAAGGGAAGAGAAGGAACATGCATACCTGGCTTGTGTTGTGGGTGCTTGTCGTTGGCAAAGGGCTCACCTCGGCCACTGGAAGGAGGCTGCACTCGGAGCTGCAACTTCCCTGATGTGGTTGCGCTTGGAGCTGCAGATCTGGACGTCGGGCTGAGAAGGGCCTCCAGATCCACCATGCTCGGGAGGGCCCGCACGCCGTGAGGGCTGTGCTCGGGAGGGGCGGCGCACCGTGAGGGACGCGCCCAGGAGGGCCGTGTCCGGGAGGGGCGGTGCGCTGGGGGGAGGCGCCCAGAGAGCCACGCCTGGGAGGGGCCGCGCGCTGAGAGGGCCACGCCTGGGAGAGGGACGGCGCGCCAGGAGGGCCGCACCAGCGCGTCGGCCGCGCTACGAGAGGGCTGCGTTCGGGGGTCGGGAGGGGAAGCAGCGGAGCTGGGGCGACGAGAAGGGGGCTGGCGGCGGATGGGTGGAGGAGGGTTGCGGGGGTGAATGCGGAAGGATAGGAGGCTTCAGTGGGTTGCGGGGATTTAAGTTTAGGATTATTTCTCTGTGCGTACGTAATTTTAATCTGTGGGTAACATAGAAACCTACAGAATAATTGATATTTTTCTGTGTGTGTATTATTTTTCTGTGCGTTTTAAAAACACTCACAGAATAATTACATTTTTTCTGTGTGTACTCTCACGCATAGAAAAATGATATAATTACTTTGTGAGTTTTCGTATTTTTCTGTCGGTATATTTTGGAACCGACACAAAAATTACAATTTTTCTGTGTGTGCCGAAAAAAACGCACAGAAAAATTTATCACCCACAGAAATATTCGAGTTTCCAGGAGTTTCCAGTAGAAACCTACAGAATAATTGATATTTTCCTTTTAAACATAAGCAGAAGTTAGTTCTTATTAACATGTGAAAGTTTGGTGATTATGTTCTTAGTTCTTACTATTTGTGATGTGGTTATAGGGGACGGTGATCAGGGGATGAGAGTCGCTGCAGCGACATACTTGAAAAATTTTACCCGCCGCAATTTGGAAAGCCGTCTGTGTTCGTCTGAGGTTTACAAGGAGTTCCGTGACCAACTTGCCCAGGCTTTGCTTCGAGCGGAACCTGCAATTCTTCGAGTGCTGATTGAAGTTGTAATACTCTTATATATCCCTCAAGATCCCTGTGCTTAGAACCCTGTTTTGTATGTTTTAAGGTTGTTTTACTAACGGCTTGCAATATCTTCTGAACAGTTCCGCCAAGTTGTTGAAAAAGATTTTGTCAAGGATAACTTGTGGCCTGAGCTTATCCCTCAGTTGAAATTAGTGATCCAGAGCAGCAATCTAGTTAGTCCAGGCCAGCATCCTGAGTGGAATACCATTAATGCTCTCAAAGTACTTCAATCTGTTGTGAGGCCCTTCCAGGTACATCTCTTGCTTTCTATGCTTCTGGCAGTTTTTGAAAACCACCTGTTTCTCCCTCGGGTTTATCTATAGAAGCATGAACATATGATTGTGACTTTGACGGCTATACAGTGTAGCCCTTGTATTATACACAGTTACCAATTTCTTGTTCAGAGTGAAGTTACTAGCTTTCCTATGAATGAAACTGAAAGCTGATTCTTTTATTTTTGGAGTTCACTATTTTATCCTTATTCCCTGGTATACTCTGTTCGAGATGCTATACTCCTAACTTAGCATTTCAATACACTAGTAAGTCTAGTATGCTGCTATCAGACTTGTACTGTCCACACTAATTTATTTGGTTCTATCCACTAATGTTCCAGAATTCACCCATAGTATTTTAATATGTTCCATATTTAATTTTTGTAATTTATGTGTCATCTTACAGTATTTCTTGAATCCAAAAGTTGCAAAAGAGCCTGTTCCACAACAGTTGGAGCAAATTGCAGCAGAGATTCTTGTACCATTGCAAGTGACATTCCATCACTTCTCTGACAAGGTATTATGTTTGTGCACTCTGTTTTTAGTTAAATGTTACAGCCAGTTTGATCTTTTCTGTTGACCATTTATGGTGTGTGCAATAGGTTCTGTTGTCACCTGATGGAACTAACTTGGAATATGAGCAGCTCCTACTCATCACATGCAAATGCATGTATTTCACTGTAAGCCCTGTTTTTATTTCTTATTCCTTTTGTATTAACAATATCATCACGACATTTTCTTGAATCATGAACGTAATTAAGGCGAAGAAGAAAGCCACAAATTTGCTATCAGAAAACTAAGTATCATTTGCAGGAATATATTTAATATTGCCAATTATTAAACTCTGGGAAGGTAAATCAATGAAATGGTGGGTTGAGTTGTTTAGCTTCATGTCTGTTTATGGTGGTATTATAGGATTGCTATATTGGGCTTGGCTTTGCCATTTTGGTCTCTAAATCCATTAGTTGCTTCTCTGTGCATTGACACTTGTGGTGCAGCACTGCAGCTTATCAATTTTGTGGCATGCATGCTGTTAAGTGCTAACTTTTTCTCATGGGTATCTAATTGTTATAATCTTGCAGGTGAGGTCATACATGCCATCTAGGGTGAAACAAATTTTGCCTTCCTTTTGCAAAGACATGTTCTGTATACTAGATTCTTTGAACTTTAATAGTCCTATTGAAGATGGACCTACCATAAGGCTCAAGATTGCAAAGAGGTGTCTCATTATATTGTGCGCACTTGTTACACGTCACCGGAAACATGCAGATAAGTATGTACTTTGGCCTTTACTATTCTTCTTTTCTAGCATATTTTCCATTTTACCTATGCAGCTATGCTCCAATATTTTCTTCAAAACTTATGCTCCGATGTTCTCAGCCAGATGCCACATATTGTCAACTGTGCAATCAAACTATCGAAACAAAGCATTCACTTAAGTGTAAGTTCTATATCTCAAAGAATTTAATTATTTGTGCAAAAAGATGGAGACTAACATTCTGAGTCAATGCTGACATTCTAGATTAATGATTGTTCCAATAATTGTTTATAATTCTTATTGGATTAGATCCTAAGATGGCCAAATGATTGCAGAAACTTGACTCTCTCCCCAATCGGATTTTTTCATTAGCATTTGATGTAATTTCTCGAGTTTTGGAAACAGGACCGGTAAGTATCTGCACCAAAAAGTTGAGATGATAATTCTCTCAAATGTTCAAAAATTGATGTCCATCTGCTCCCTTGTTTGAAGGGATGGCGACTAGTTTCACCACATTTTTCTTCACTTCTTGATTCAGCAATTTTTCCAGCATTAGCGTTGAATGAGAAGGTTAGCTCCCTATCTTTTGGTCATAAATAACACCATACCCAATATGCACTTCTTTTGTCCTAAGTCCTAACTTTTGTCTATAATAGGATATAGCAGAATGGGAGGAGGATACTGATGAGTATATGCAAAAGAATCTTCCTTCTGAACTTGTAAGGACAGGATTCAGCGTTTCTAGTTTTTTTTTCTGGTGTTCCATCTGTTGCTGATATATTTATTGGCAGGATGACATTTCAGGATGGACTGAGGATTTGTTCACTGCCAGAAAAAGTGCAATCAATTTACTTGGTGTTATAGCTCTGTCAAAGGTTGTGATTCATTTTTTATTCTAGTTTGTTGAACACACATAGTACTGAGTTCAGGCTGAGCAAAACATTTTAAAAGATTGTTTTGCTATATTGTAATCCCGATTTCAGTGGCTACATGCACAATCTTCCAAGTTCATACACATTTGCTATTTTTCACTGAACCATGTAGTTTGTTGAATTAAAATAAAATGCGGAGCTGGTGCTATCATTTACTTACATTCTTTTTTGGTTTCAGGGTCCACCAGTTGCACCTGCAGCATCCAAGCGTAAGAAAGGTGATAAAAGTAAAGGGAAATCTGAAAGGAGCTCAATTGGGGAGCTATTGGTCATCCCATTCCTGTCAAAATTTCCTATACCTTCCCATGGTGAAGATGCATCATCAATGGCAGTGCGGAAGTAAGATCATAAGAATCAGTTGTCTTTATCATAAAAGAAAGGATTACAGACGTTAGACATAATACTATGTTTATTTACTTTACTCTTATCCTGATGTACTAAAGGGTTTCATTTCAGTTATTTTGGAGTTTTGATGGCATATGGAGGCCTCCAAGATGTAAGATTTTTAAATTATATCCTTCTAGTGTGTCTTATTTTATGATTTTTTATAAGAAATGCTAATTCATTTCAGTATCCATCTTGCAGTTTCTGACTGAAAAGAAAGATTTGACAATTACATTGATCAGGAACCGGATTCTTCCATTATATTCTTTGGATCCATGCAGCCCATATTTGATTTCAACGGCTAATTGGGTTATTGGTCAGCTTGCTATATGCCTACCAGAGGTTACATGCTTTCCCTGTTTTTTAATTCCATCATCCCATAGGACATGCTGGATCAAAGAAAAGGCTTCATGTAATATGTATATTCCTGTACATTATATGTTTGGCTTTCTAATTCTTGTTTGCTTACCAGGACATGAGTACTAGTATTTATCAGTCCTTAATGAAGGCGTTGACGATGGAGGATGTGGAGGACATAACTTGTTATCCAGTTTGTGCCTCTGCTTCTGGTGCTATTGCAGAACTCATCGAGGTTAAGAGTCATTGCAGTATTTTCCATTGTAGTCTACTTGCACCTGGAAGTATAAACTGATATATTTTGTCTCTGATTTTTTCAGAATAGTTATGCTCCACCTGACTGGCTCGTTCTTTTGCAAGTGGTTGTGAAAAGAATAAGTACTGGAGATGAAAATGAGTCTGCTCTTCAGTTTAAGCTTCTGGGCACAATAGTTGAGGGTGGACAAGAAAAAGTTCTATCCCATATTCCTGAAATTGTGTCTAACATTGCAAATACTGTAATGGAGCTCCTGCCCCCTGTCCCAGATCCTTGGCCTCAGGTAGTAGTGCATCTTTCTTCTGTGTGGTCAATATTTTGGTACTTTGTGCAAGGAGGTTAAATCACCATGCCTGCTTTTGATCTTATGATCAGTTATTACTTTCGTATTAACAATATTATTTCTGGCCTTTGGCAAATTATGGATTAGCTGATTCAGTATACATTTTGGTACTACAAATTGGACATAAGAATCTCAACCTACCTTGTAAACTTCTTTCAATAGAATAATTAATACGATAAAAATTCATTTGCAACTACTGACAGCTTACTTTTTAAAAGAAATGCATGTTTCTCAGTCATGCTCGTATGATCACCTTTCATCATGTCCCAGTATTCCTGGTGTATTGGATTCCTTGAGGAAATCCCAACAACACTATTTAATATATCTGCTATGTAGGTTGTTGAACAGGGTTTTGCAGCCCTGGTAGCAATGGTTCAAGCTTGGGAGAGCTCTGCACCAGATGAAAACAAGACACATGAAAAGAGGGTCTGGCAGTCAGGCCAGTCTGCTATTGCTGAAACAATTTCATTACTGTTACAAAAAGCTTGGTTGTTGCAAGTTGACAATATGGTATGTTAGGTTTGCTGTTGACCTGTTGTCTTAGTATTCATGCAGTGAAATTTGCTTGACTGTTTTCAACATTCATTTCAGGAGAACATCGGTTCTGCATTGCCACCTCCGTCATGTGTAAATGATGCTTCTGTGTTACTTGAGTTTGTCATGAGTTCTGTTACTTGCATGGAAGAAACTGCAAGTATGAAGGTCTTTGAGCTGGTAGCTATATGGGCTGACACTATTGCTAACTGGGACTCCTGGGAGGAGATGGAGGATGAGGGGGTTTTCAACGCAATTAAAGAAGCTGTCAATTTCCACCAAAGATTTGATCTTGACGGGTTTTTCCTGAAAATGCTTCCATCGCAGACAGAAAATGCTTCACAGAGTTCAGTCATTGGCCGGGTTTCTAATTTTGTGACAAGGGCAATTGCAGCTTACCCATCTGCAACATGGAGGGCATGCTCATGCATCCATACAATACTTCATGCTCCAAATTTCTCCCTTGGAACACAAGATGCTAGAAAGACTATTGCTGAATCCTTTGCACAAGCAGCATTTTCCCGCTTCAAGTCTATATCTGACAGTCCTGCTGGGCTATGGAAACCACTATTGTTGGTAATATCTTCATGCTACATTTGTTATCCAGATGCCATTGAACAAGTCTTGAACAACTTTGATGGTAATGGTTTTGCAATCTGGACATCTGCATTGGCACAAGTCTCAAGCAGCTCATTCAATCCTGGCCTGTCATCTGAATCCGAGATCAAGTTAGCTTGTAAGTGCCTATGTAGTACTGATCACTGCATTGTTTAACTCTGTTGATATTTTCTCTGACATCTTATGAATGTGGGCCAGCTTTTAATTGTTTGTTTCCTTGATGCAGTGCTAACATTATCAACTGTGATTAACCATCTCATGTCACTTTCCATGGGTGGCACCAAAGTGTTACAAGACTGCTATGTATCACTGATGGAATCTTGCATTCAGCTGAAGGAAGTTCAAGACAATGGGGACAATGATGACGATGACGGTGCTGAAGATCTTGATGATGACGATGAAGATGAAGACACCGAAGACGATGATGAGGTAACAGAAATGAAGACACTGCTTTGTACCTTTTCTTGTCATGCTTAAGCACTCCGCTCAAGATAAAAAAGAATAATGCAACTAGGATTCGGACGACGATGATGTGCGGGAAGAAACAGAAGAGGAATTCCTTGAAAGATATGCACTAGCTGCTGCGGGTGAGTCAATCGAGGCTATCGAGGAAGGAGACATTGATGAAGAAACCCAAGACATTGAATTGGGTAAGTTTCTTCATCTGTTACCCCAATCTTTTTTTTTTACCTTAAACATGTGGGGATAGTTTCGTGACCACTTGCCTCTTGAGTAAACGCAGGCTCTCTGGATGATGTGGACATACAAGAGGTGGTTATTTCCCTGATGCAGAAACGTCCTGCTTTGCAGGCCCAAACGTTTCCAGACAGCCTGGTTGAAAAAATTACAGAAACATTCCCAGAATACCAACTGTTTTTCCAAGTCCATCGACAATCTTAGAGTATAGGAAACATGTGCAGATTTTTCTATTTGATATGTTTGTATTTCTTGTCATTTTTGTTAGCTTAAGTATTTTCCCTTGAGCTCTGTTCTGAGAGGTATTTTCTTGTCAGATATGTAGTGACATTTCACATTCTTATTTTCCCTTGATGTGAGATGTGAGTGATAAGATATGGCGTGATGATGTCCGAGGGTTACATATGTGCTGTGGGCATAATTGTATAACATTATATCAGTTCGTCCATCTACCATTTTCAAATTTTTGCTATGTTTTTGCACTGTCGCCAAACATGTATGGATTGAAGGAGAAAAGGGAAGGGGAGTGGAGAGGAGTGGACGGGGATTGTGGTGGGGCTGTTAGATGTTCTCGGGAAAGCTCGTGGTGGTGCTAATTTGGAGCTCGAGCTCCACGGGTAATGGCGGGGGTACCTCTGGCAAGAGCGAGACGGAGGAGAGGGATGACATGTGGGTCCTTGGGCCAGTGAGACAGTGGGAGGGAGAAACGCATGCTGGCTTGATTGGTTTCTGGTCCACCAGTGACCAATTTAGCAACGGAGAATGTTGGGCATGGGGAAGGAGTTGGGCTGGTGGATTTGGGCCCGAGAGAACTAGGTCAGGCCGAAAAGAAAATAAAAGATTAAGAGAAAAGGTTTGGGTTGGTTTTGATTTGAATTCGGCCCAAGACAGGTTTTTAAGGTTTAATAGTTTTGCAAACTAATTTAGAAACTTATTTTATACTATTTGAATCTTGCATCTTCTCAAACTTTAAAACTTGATTAAAAATAAATATATTTGGAACTTGTTTCAAACCATTATCTTTTCATACTTTTCAATCATTTTTGAATGTCTTTTTATTTTTTAACTTCCTTATCAAACCTTTTAAACTATATTTTTACAAATCATTGAAAACTATTTTGATGCTCTTTTGAGATATTCTTAACCCTATTTTTAAATAACCATTTAAGGCATTTTGGATCCAGTTTTAAATAACAAAAATAAACTATTTCTAAACCACTTTGAAACTTAATTTCACAAGCGTTATTCTGATTTCTGAAATATACAACTATTTTGAGGAATTAAACCCCCCCTTTTTAAAACAAAATTTTCAAATTAGTTAATACACATTTTCCAACACTTTTGGAACCCAATTGTGAACTCGTTACCACACACCAAAAATTAATGCAAAGGAATCAAATAGAACAAACAATTAAATTAACATTGTAAAAAAATTACAAATTCGCATTTGTGCCACTTGTTACTCCACATTGACAACAAATTTTAGAAAATGATTAAAATCATTGATTTCATTTAGTGTTTTCTAGTCACATCCCAAAATAGAAATTTTAGGGGCGTGACACATGTTCTGACATCTAAATCTGTTAAATTTACAACACCTCATAATCACATCTAGTGGGAGAAACACTGAAAACTTGCTTATTAGTTGAGGACTTGAGCCTTTTCTTGGATAAATTAGTGTTGTGTGCTTTAACTGTCAAAATTGGGTCACCATGTTTCAAGAAACTAGTTAATCCGATCTTACCAAAGTGCAAGCCTAAGATGTGGGGATACGCTCCAATCTTGTGTACGTTCTCAAAGTAGCCATAGCATCTTCTACTGATACTTCTTGTTTGTCCTCTCATGCTCTTGTCTTATATCTTTATTACTATGCAATCTCTTGTATGGTGCCTCAATTTCTTGCACTTGAAGAGAGTAATGGGATCCATGATCTTCTTCATGTGCTGCTTGTTTCTTTTCCCTTGCTTGGACTTGTTACTTTCATGATGAGGCAGGAGACAATCCTCATCCCTTCTTAAACTTCTTCACCATGTCTTCATAGTTATCTTGGGAAGGTTGACTATTGCTCTTGCCCTTATGTAACACCCTAGCCCATTAGTAGCATGTAGTAGTTGTGAAGTTAACCCTTGTGGCCCAAGTGTGGCTCATGTATGGTTGTGGTGGTTGGTGGGTTTAGTACCACCTTGGAAGTTTAGGAGGGTGAGGGCCAGTTTATAATCCTTGTCATTCCAAATGTAACACCTCCAGGTTAAACCTTTTGCATGAAGCGAGGTGCTATGCATATGCAGGCCCATTCCACGTGCGGAGCTAGGCCATATCACTACTACAGAAAGTCAATTCACCGTCGGGACCTTCACCAACGGTTTTGAGATAACCGGCGGTGATACGTATCACCATCGGCTTATGACCTATGGGGCCCCTCCTGGCCGAATAACCGGCGGTGATGAACGCTTTCGCCGCTGGCTCGGCGTATGATCCGGCGGTGAACACAATCTCGACCTTTACCGCCGTGTCATTCGCCGAACCGGCGGTAAAGGTGTTGTCACCGCCGGATGCTGGTCCTATGTTCGACGCCGAAGAAACCGGTAGAGGTAACAATACTTTTACCACCGACGCCAAGATGGTCGTGTGCGCTACAGTTAGATTCGGCGGTGAAGCAGGTTATCACCGTCGGATTACCGTATGATCCGGTGGTGAAGCAACCATTGTTTCAATGGATGCGTTGGGTATGCTGCTAAGCGAGGCGAGAATTGATATCTGCTGATGAACTCCTTTGGCAGGACGCTACATCTACCATATCGAATGGCAAGGGCAGGGATGAGATGAACTTTTCTGCTGTCCATGTTATATGCGATGATGGTTCTTTCCCCCCCCAACAAAGAAGGGGCACCAGACATGCTATGGTGGTGCACCGCCCCCTCCATGGTGGTGACCAACAACCCAACGGTCCTGTTGCCGAAAAAGATGAACTGAACGCATCCATGGAGTTCTTGCCACAAAGTTCGCCGGCAAAACGAAAACAAAAGGGAAACGGTCATACGGTGTTGGATTGATGCAAATAAGAACTCGAGCATGTAGAGAACGGCGAGACAAAACTCGTGGTGGTGGTGGTTTATGTCAGAATGCGACGGTTTTATCGGTAAAGCTTGTCGAAAACCTAACTTTTCCGAACTTCGGCTTTAGATCTGGGATGGTTGGAGTGGCGGCTGCGAAAAAGGATTGTGCTTCTGGAAACCTCACATCGAGCAGATCGCCGGCATATATATATTGATAGGGGTTGAGGTTGGTACAAAACAACATATTTTATTCTTTTCGGAATTATTTAATTTCATGAATAAAATAATCCTAGCAAAGTCTCGAATTATTATTTAAATCGCAAAAAATACTCCGAAAGCTCCAAAAATTTGGGGAAAATTCTCAGAGACATTTTGGAATACGAGGAACCCAAATAATGTATTTGAAGATCATGATAAGATAATTTGGAGTATATAAAAATTAGATTATGCTCCTAGAAAATTGGGAACAAATTCCAGAAAAAGCCGGAATAATTTTCGAGAAGATTTCAGAGATGGGTTGATGGATGGTGAACTGAAATGAGTGATTTGGAGGAGAAGGAAAAGATTATGAGAACTCCAAACAAGAGGATTGCATGACATGGGTTATGTGAAAGTAAGAGAAATAACCAATGTTTAATAAAACATGGTGTTTGTAAATAAAGGACCTAATTAGCTTATGCTGGTGATTTTTGTGCTCACCTAATAGTGCAACAGCAGCCATGAGAATTATGGGACGACATTCCTTTCCTCTTTGGAATAAATTGCTTCGACACTTGTAGCCGTCTGTGTCAGTGCAATTGCGGCCACTTGGACAATGATATGTTTCTGGAAATTGTCATTCGATGATATCTGTATATAGCTGTGATAATAAAAAAACTGTCATTTGTCAACAATACGATAAGTTGTGCTACAATCACATGTACAAGATACGTGTAAAATATAGGAAATTAAGCGGCAAAACCACGAAATACGGTTTAGAGAACTGACAAGGAATTAAACCACTTAAGACTTCCAAATTTCGCAAAATTGTCCCACCTATTTAAATGAGAAGTTTAAAGTACTTGTTGCTATTTCAGAAATTTGGTTACTAGCTAGAGTATATCTGTAAGACAAATAATTAAATGAATATAGAGTATGTTGGGTTCGTGACTTGAACATTAAACTTTCAAATGAGAACCTTGTAATTAGTGAAGTAATGCTATTTTATTTTGAAAAGGCAAGTAATAATCTGTGCTCACGCATAGGGCATGAATCTTACAAGAAGTAAGCATTAGTAATTGTGTAGTACCTCTGACTAATAAAAAATACTTATCTCTTTGTTTAACAAAATATTATACATACAGTAAAATTTATAGTACAGATATAGATATGTCAACATTTTAATTAAAATGTATAATAACTTAT